GGGTCCGGGGAGACCAGATATAGTGAATGCAGGGTCCGGGGAGACCGGATATAGCGAATGCAGCGTCCGGGGAGACCGATATAATGAATGCAGGGTTCCTGGGAGACCAGATATAGTGAATGCAGGGTCTGGGGAGACGCAGATATAGTGAATGCAGGGTCCGGGGAGACCAGATATAGTGAATGCAGGGTCCGGGAGACCGATATAGCGAATGCAGGGTCCGGGGAGACCAGATATAGCGAATGCAGGGTTCAGGGTCCGGGGGAGACCGGATATAGTGAATGCAGGGTCCGGGGAGACCAGATATAGTGAATGCAGGATCCGGGGAGAGCGGATATAGTGTGAATGCAGGGTCCGGGGAGAGCGGATATAGTGAATGCAGGGTCCTGGGAGACCAGATATAGTGAATGCAGGGTCCTGGGAGACCAGTTATAGTGAATGCAGGGTCCGGGGAGACCAGATATAGTGAATGCAGGGTCCGGGGAGACCAGATATAGTGAATGCAGGTCCGAGGAGAGAAGATATAGTGAATGCAGGGTCCTGGGAGACCAGATATAGTGAATGCAGGGAGCGATCCTGGGAGACCAGATATAGTGAATGCAGAGTCCAGGGAGACCGGATATAGTGAATGCAGGGTCCTGGGAGACCAGATATAGTGAATGCAGGGTCCTGGGAGACCAGATATAGTGAATGCAGGGTCCAGGGAGACCAGATATAGTGAATGCAGGGTCCTGGGTTTTGTAACACTTTAACTCTGAAAAATGTGAAATGCTCCACCAAATACAGGAAAAACCATTGCTGTAGGTTTGGAGATCCAGTGAAATGGTTGAGAGATTCTAGTAGAACTCTCAGGGGACGGCAGGAAAAAGACATATATTATATTTTGCAAACTTGCTTGATTTGGCTATGAAGAAGCGAACAAAAGTGCTTCCGGTGAGCGATCGCTATTTTAAGGGACTGATTCTTAATTGCTGTATGAGTCAGAAGAATGGACTGAAAGGTAACTTTCTAGGTTAATGTATTTCCTGCCTCTCAGCTGTGCCAGTAAATGGTTATTTGTTGATTAAGAGCAGAGAAGATGAGTACAATAAAGCTGAGGAGGAACAATCCTCTAAGAGGCAAATGTGATAACGCCAGCTACAGTAATGGTTTTTCCTGTTACAAATGACTGCTGTTACAAACCCCTGCTACAAATGACTATATCTACAACTCATGATACATTAGTGTGATGGTCAATGGGAAGAACGCTCCTTACATTGGTGGTCATTGGGAAGAATTACCCCCTTACAGATGGCTAAAAAAGATCAATGGTGTCAGTGGAAACCTATCTGAGAGGCAGGATTGCTCACTGCTCAAGGAACCCCCTAGCCACCTCTGGAGGAATCCTAGAGTTCCATGGAACCCTGGTTGAGAAACCCTGTTCTACACATAGGGCTGGTTATATCAAGGAAAGCGTCCTCGTAATTCCTCCACATCCTATATTGCTGTGCATACCTAAGGGAATACGGGGTCATGTCCTCTTTCCGAAAAGTGGAAACGTAATCTGTTTGAAATGATTCCACAACCCATCCGGATTTCCTCCTATTTGACTGTAGAGCCTTTCAGCCACTGCCCATTCCATCTACTGTCGTTTCTGTACTACCAAAACCATTTGAAGACTGCAATGACCTCTAAATGATCAAAGTAGGTATGTTTAGAATGTTACAGTTCGTTTTACCAAGATCATGCAAAGGACTAAAAGCAATGCGGAGTGATTAGCAGTGGAAAAAACAGCCCTAATTATGGAATATCACACACCATAGTGAAAAACAACAGTACTAGCACTGCACAGCCCTTTGCCATCCACCTCCCACCACTGTAAATTAACCCGCTGCTGCTCACTTTCCTTTCATTGATCATAAACCTTTTTGATGTACAATTCCCAGTCATGGTTCTCAACTACTTTGCAATTTTTTTTGTACATTAAATATGCCACGTTATACACTGTGCTGTAAGCCATATACGTTCCCCCATCCTTCTAGGGCAGTGGTCTCCAAACTGTGGCCCTAGGGTCGGATGTGGCCCTTTGCTAGCCTTTACCCGGACCTTGGGCCACTATTTGTCCTACTGATACCAACAGTGGGGTATAATACCTGCCACTGACACTAATGCCGGGGCACTATTCTACCCACCAATGCCAATGCTGGGGCACTATTCCTCCCACCAGTGCCAATGCTGGGGCACTATTCCTCCCACCAGTGCCAATGCTGGGGCACTATTCCTCCCACCAGTGCCAATGCTGGGGCAATATTTCACCCACCAGTGCCAATGCTGGGGCACTATTCAACCCACCAGTGCCAATGCCGGGGCACTATTCCTCCCATCAGTGCCAATGCTGGAGCACTATTCCTCCCACCAGTGCCAATGCTGGAGCACTATTCCTCCCACCAGTGCCAATGCTGGGGCACTATTCCACCCACCAGTGCCAATGCTGGAGCACTATTCTTCCCACCAGTGCCAATGCTGGGGCACTATTCCTCCCACCAGTGCCAATGCTGGGTCACTGTTCCTTCTACCAGTGCCAACGCTAGGGAGCTATTCCTCCCACCAGTGCCAACACTGGGGCACTGTTCCTCCCACCAGTGCCAATGCTAGGGTTCTATTCCTCCCACCAGTGCCAATGCTGGGGCACTATTCTACCCACCAGTGTCAATGCTGAGGCACTATTCTACCCACCAGTATCAATGCTGGAGCACTATTCTACCCACCAGTGCCAATGCTGGGGCAATATTTCACCCACCAGTGCCAATGCTGGGGCACTATTCAACCCACCAGTGCCAATGCCGGGGCACTATTCCTCCCATCAGTGCCAATGCTGGAGCACTATTCTTCCCATCAGTGTCAATGCTGGGTCACTGTTCCTTCTACCAGTGCCAATGCTGGGGAGCTATTCCTCCCAGCAGTGCCAACACTGGGGCACTATTCCTCTCACCAGTGCCAACACTAGGGTGCTAATCCTCCCACCAGTGCCAATGCTGGGGCACTATTCTTAACACCAGTGCCAACACTAGGGCACTACTCCTCATCCTCCTGACCACCAACCCTGAAGCAATGTTTTTTCTCACTGATGCGGGGCTTGGGACATTGGCAACCCCCACTGGCCACAATTCAGCCCCTTAAAGTCAGACAGATAGTAAACTGGCCCTTTGTTTGAAAGGTTTGGAGACCCCTGATCTAGCGGATCAAATCTGCTGACGATCGGATGTGAAAGGATGTGTACATCCAGCCACCTCATAGAGAACAACGAGCTATGTCTGTGTCCACTCTGCACAAGCAAGGAGCGGCAGACAGATCCCCCACTGAGCAGGCAGATCTGCTTGATGGAGTTTGCCCCTTGTGAAAGGGACCTAATACAACATAATCAAGTAACTGATCAGCAGATTGCACAGCTAATGAGGAGCATGCACATCTAAAGGGACACCATGTGTGGGTTTTTTTTTTTTTTTTTTTACATATAATAATGAACCTTTAGGCCATTTTCGTGTGCAAAAAAAAAAATCACAAAAAATGGCTTTGCCATTGAAAGGGTTTAAATCAAGCATTTCGAGTTTCTCTATTAGGGGAATACCCGTTTCTTTGTTGCTATTCTTACTCATCTCCGTCCTTACTAATAAAGACTATATCTTACAGGCACGCCAACCAGGCAGGAAGCTCATTAGCCACCGCTTTTCGATCTTTTCTCTCCATCACTCTTCACGACATGACTCAGACAGGCAGGGGAAAGGCTTCATCGTTCCAGTACAAGGGAACGGTAAAAAATGGTTTTTAATCGGACCAGCGAGGTCACCCAAACATTATGTCTTGACGATCGTATGGCGCACAGCGATTTGGTAGGGAAGGGTATCGTGGGAGGAAGCGGTTTTTTATTATTCCTCTGGAATCCCTGCCTTCGGGGATTCCACGATATCAGTACAAGATGTTTGTTTCAGCGAAACTTCACCGCAATATATCAACTAAAAACGTCCCGTTGTTCTTTGTGAGATTCAGGGAACAGACTGAACAGTGGTTTGTGTGTTTGTAGACAAAGGCATCACTGTCACTGCCGACTACGGGCAATTTGTGGCGGCACAATACGCCGAGTCAGGTCACTTCTACTCCACATTCCAACTTCTCTCTCCTCCCACATCTGCTGCGTTCTCCTAAAGTGGAACTCCAGCCTAAGCCCGGGTTCACATACGTGTTTGATGCGGTACATCGCATGTGATTCGCCCGGGAACCGCACTCCTGTGCCAATCACATGCAATTTGTGCACGGTGCGATCGGAGCTATACATTTTGTATGACTAATTGCAATGCACCCGCACCAAAAAGGTGCAGGACCCTTTTTTTGATCCGCACTAGAATCGGATCGCAGAGGGTATTCACACCTATGCGATCCGACTCTGCACATCGCACTGCGTTTTGACCGATTTCGGGGTGTTGGTAGCCTCCCTAGCGGTATGATTATGTCCATATTTCTGTGCTCAAAGCGGTACATTTTTTTTGCATGGAAATATCTATTTTTTTTATTGTAGGCCTGTAATTTTTAGGAATAACTCACTGAAATCTGTCCGAACAAGAGTCTAGTAAACATCCCGGGTATGAAAAAATTTGAAACACGAAATCATAAATTATAATATAAATAAAAATAATCATAAAAAAATAATATAATAATAATAATAAATGTAATTCAATAATATAATCAAACAAAAAACACTGAAATGTGAAATAGAGCGCCAAGTTCGCACATCACTGAGCAAAGTCGCAGAATCATTTTCAGTGTCTGATGAGGAATTTCCCCCACGAATCATTATCACTCAATTCTGCAAGTGGTTCTGATTTACTATCGCTGTTCTCTAGTCGGTCTAAAACCGATTTTGACCTAAAGGGACGCTTTTTGGACGCCATGGACGTTTCTCAGTTTCCAGGCAGAAAGAACAGTAAAAATGCAGGCAGGGCGCCGGACAAAGCACTCGGGACAAAATGTATGTGAAATGGTTTGATACAGGAATGTTATACTATGTGATTTTAGTGTATTTAGTGAATGTCACTTTTACATTTTTGAATTTCCCGCCAGTTCCATCCCCCATATGTCCCGTACATCCCGACGTCTCAGGGAATGGAACCCAGAAGACAGATGCTGGCATCGGCCGGAGGACATTGCCGGGGACACTGCAGGGGGCACATCGCGGGAGCGCAGGACAAGGTAAGTGAAGAAGAGATCCTGGAGCAACGCTGCAGTGTATTCCCGAGTGTAGCTCGGGGTTACCACTTGTGGTGCTGAAACTTTACCCCGAGCTACACTCGGGAATACAGCCAGGGAGGTTAACCTCTTCATGCCGGCGCCTCCCGGCCCTTTAAGAGTTTCAGAAGCCAGGAGGTGGGGCGGGGTTTAGGGTCATGGTGGTCACATCAAATTGGACAGAAAATTGTATAGTGTATGGCCAGCCTTAACACTAAAGCTGGCCATACACGTATAGATTTTTGTTCAAGAATCTTTGTTTCAAGAATATTCGCTTGATTTTCAAATCGTTAGTGGGGGTCAAATTGATGTTCGTTTTCGACCGCAGTGATGGAAAAAAATCGAAGGGTCAGGAAGGCAAACTTTTCTCGATCAAATACATTTTTGGCTGGTGTATGTGGTTATCATTCAGAAATTACATTCATTTTAAAGTCGAATGTTAAAAGCAAAAGACAATTTTCGAATAACATTTGTCCATTCATCGAATGCGTAAAGAATTTGTGTACGACTTTTCTTACAAATATTCTCATCTGAAAATCTACACATGTATGGCCAGGCTTAAACACTAAAGCTACCCATAAACGTATAGATTTTTATTCAAGAATTTTCGTTCAAGAATATTCGCTTGATTTTCTAATCGTTATTGGGGGTCAAATCGATGTTCATTTTCAACAGCAGTGATGGGAAAAGTTGAAGGGGCCTGAAGGAAAACTCCATGAAACGAATTTTCGGCCAGTGTATGTGGTTATCGTTCAAAATTTATATATATCATTTAAAAGTCGAATGTTAAAAGCAAAAGACAATTTTTGAATGACATTTCATTCCATCCATGGAATTTTCAAAGAATTTTCATATGACTTTTTTCACAAATATTCTCATCGGAAAATCTACACGTGTATGGCCAGCTTAACACTAACAAATCCTAAAATTGTCCTCTCCCCCCCCTCCGCCTACCTATGCTGACTGACCTGTGGAAGGCTTCTTGTACACGGTACTGATGAGTGAACGCCAGATATTCCTGGCACAAAAGTTCCTGCATGGCAACGCAAGAAAGGTCTGTAAAGTATGTGCATCACTGCACGGACTCGGACACGTGTATATGTCCAGCTGCACACGGGATGTCATAGTTTACTGATGTTTATACTCAGGGATGACAGAAAGATCCTGAGTGAGGCTAGGATCATATCTATTCAGGTTGCAGTTGATGTGATTTAATGGCACGCTTTGCATTTTTGAACACACGTTTTTGATGTATTTTTGTGACGCGTGTTTGATGCAGTTTTCTTTTCTTGGGGCTTATAGGAAAGTATGACAGTTCTGTTCATGTAGTGAGTACTTTGATATGACTTGAGTGCCAGAGAGTGTAAAGTCACATCAATGTTGCAGTACATGGACACTACTGTCATACTTTTCCAAATGCCGAAACAAACAAATGTGACTTTGGACACGTCAAAGGTCCTGCACCACTTTGATACAACTTTCATGCTACTTGAGTGCCAGAGAGTGTAAAGAGGCATCCAAGTTGCAGTACATGGATACTACTGTCATACATTCCTAATAGACAAAACAAGCAAATGTGACTTTGGACACGTAGGTTCCTGCACTACTTTTATGCTACTCTCTCTCTCTCTCCTCTCTTCTCTCCCCCCTCTCTCTCAGTCTCTCTCCCCCTCTTGCTCCCCCTTTCACTCTCCCTCTCCCTCTCCTCCACCCTCTCGCTCCCCCCTCTCTCTCCCCTTCTCCCTCCCCCTCTCTCCTTCCTCTCCCTCTCTCTCCCCCTTCTCTCTATCTCCCCCTCCCTCCCCTCTCTCTCTCTACCCCCCTCTGTCTCGCCCTCCCTCTCGCCCCCCCCTCTCCTCTCTCTCCGTCTCTCCCTCCCCCCTCTCTCTGTCTCTCTTTCTCCCCCCCCCCCCTCTCTCTCTCTCTCTCCCCCCCCTCCCCTCTCTCTCTACCCCCTCTGTCCTCTCCCCCTCTTGCCCCCCCTCTCTCTCCGTCTCTCTCCCCCCCTCCCTCTCTCTCCCTCTCTCCCCCTCTCTCCCCCTCTCTCTCTTCCTCTCTCTGTCCCCCTCTATCTCCCCCTCTCTCTCTCTCGGTCGCTCTCCCCCTCTCGCTCCCCCCCTCTCCCCCCCATCTCCCCCTCTCCACTCTCTCTCCCTCTCTCCCGCCTCTCTCTGTCTCTCTCCCTCTCGCTCTCTCCCCCTCACACTCTCTCTCTCCCCTCTCTCTCCCCCTCACCCCCCTCCCCCTTCTCTCTGTCTCCCTCCCGCGCTCCCCCCTCTTTTCCTCCCTCCCCCTTCTCCCTCCCTCTCTCTCCCCTCTCTCTCACTCTCCACCCTCTCTCTCCCCCTCTCGCTCCCCCTCTCTCTCCCTCTCTCCCCCACCTCCTCCCGCCCTCCTTCTCTCTCTCTCTCTCTCTCTCTCTCTGTGTCTCTCTCCCCCTCTCACTCCCCCCCCCCTTTTCTCTCTCTCCTTCTCTCTCTCTCTCCTCTCTTTCCAGGTATACTCTCTCTCTCTTTTTTTAAAGTGGAGTATACAGTTGTGTCCAAAATTATTCAACCCCCAATGCTGTAAAGGGGTTTAGGGACTATAGTGTACATTTGGAATTGTATTCAGAATCAAATCCTACAAGGACGTTGTAACTACCCAAATGCAACTAAAATGACATCAATTGTTTATGTAATACAGTAGTAAAATGGTTCTTATGTGGTTTCTCATTGCCACAATTATTCAACCCCTTAAAGACTACCACTCTGAAGAACAGAGGTTCATACAGGTGCTTTCCATCAGGTATTGAAAACACCTGTGGATGTCACCGGCAAGCAATCAAGCATAATAAGCACCAATTAGGCAGCTTTAAAATGACTGTGATACTCAGCTCCTTCTAGACATTTACTGGTGTGGTTACAAAACATGGTGAAGGCAAGAGAATGGTCCAGGAAGACAAGAGAAGAGGTGATTTCTCTTCACAGGAAGGGCAATGGCTATAAGAAGATTGCAATAGATGTTAAACATACCAAGAGACACCCTTAGGAAGCATCATTCGCCCAAATTCAAGGCAAAGGGCACTGTTGAAACGCTACCTGGTCGTGGCAGAAAGAAGATGCTGACTTCGACTGCTGTGCCTACCTGAAGCGTAGAGTGGAGAGAAGTCCCCGTGTGACTGCTGAGGAACTGAGAAAAGATTTGTCAGATGTGGGTACAGAAGTTTCAGCCCAGACAATAAACGCACACTGCGTAATGAAGGCCTCGTGCCAGAACTCCCAGGCGTACCCCCTTGCTGTCTCCAAAGAATAAGAAGAGTCGGCTGCAGTATGCCAAAAGCCATGTGGACAAACCACAAAAGTTTGTGGGATAGTGTTCTGTGGACTGATGAAACAAAATTAGAACTGTTTGGGCCCATGGATCAACGCTATGTTTGGAGGAGGAAGAACAAGGCCTATGATGAAAAGAACACCTTGCCTACTGTGAAGCATGGTGGAGGGTCAATCATGCTTTGGGGCTGTTTTGCTTCTGCAGGTACAGGGAAGCTTCAGCGTGTGCAAGGTACCATGAATTCTCTTCAGTACCAGGAGATATTGGATGGAAACGTGATGCAGTCCGTCACACACCTGATGCTTGGGAACGTTGGACCTTTCAACAGGACAATGATCCCAAGCATACCTCCAAGTCCACTAGAGCATGGTTGCAGAGGAAAGGCTGGAACATTTTGGAGTGGCCATCGCAGTCACCAGACTTAAATCCGATTGAGAACCTCTGGGGGGGACTTAAAGAAAGCAGTTGCAGTGCGCAAGCCTAAGAATGTGACTGAACTGGAGGCCTTTGCCCATGAAGAATGGGCGAAGATACCCGTAGATCGCTGCAAGACACTTGTGTCAAGCTATGCTTCACGTTTTAAAAGCTGTTTAACTGTAAAAGATGCTGTACTAAGTACTAAGATTGAATGTCACTTGGGGGTTGAATAAAACTGATAATGCTGTGAGCACAGAAAAGACATTTGTGGTTATTTCATTATAACTGTTATGTTATATTTGTCTGACCTACAAGTGCCTCTTTAATGTAAATGTAAGCAAGATGACTGAATGATCAAAAGCAATGTCAAACTGGCCAAAACACTCAATTTCAGTGGGGGTTGAATAATTTTGGACACAACTGTATGTGATCATACACTTTACAATGTGATTGAACAAGCAGATTACGATCATACACCTTACAATAAGATTGGACAATCAGTTCGCGATCATACACCTTACAATGAGATTGGACAATCAGATTGTGATCATACACCTTACAATGAGATTGGACAATCAGATCACGATCATACACCTTACAATGAGATTGGACAATCAGATCGCGATCATACACCTTACAATGAGATTGGACAATCAGATTGTGATCATACACCTTACAATGAGATTGGGACAATCAGATTGTGATCATACACCTTACAATGTGATTGGACAATCTGTGTTAACGTTTAGCAGCAGAACGATAGTAAATAAAGTTTCCTCACCTGGCCTCTGTGATAGCGCTGGGGTCCCCTGTACACGTGTAATCCTCCACGAATCCCGCTGTACAGTTGAAGGCGATTGGTTGGCACACGGCGAGGAAGTACGGCCTCAGGCGACCTACGCTCAGCTTAGCCACATTGGTCAGCAGCTGTCCCAGGCTCATGCCAAACAAAAAGGGAAGAAGCTGCCGGTAGATGCTGGACAAGTATCCTTCCCGGGGACCCGACTCCGACCGACGCTGCTTGTTGACCCAATGACATTCCCCCAGGACGATCTGCCAAGGACGATAAAAACCGTTATCAGGGCCACCGGCCAACATCGCATAAACAGTCGCTGAGGAGGAAGCAGATTGTCGTTACTCGTCTCGAGATTTCTGTTATTTTTCCTTCTAAACAATATTGCCCATTGTGTCCCGTTCTATTAATAACGTTCTGTTTACAATTCGATTTATTTGTGGCTCGTGGTGATCGGACAATATGGCTGCCTCTTGGCTGCGGCCCCCCATTTGTGTTTTTCACATGTCACAAATATGGGGTCACAACTAGCCGGATGGATGGCATGGACCCCGAGAAGTCGCAGCTCATCAACAAAATCTTCAGTAACAGCAAATACATAGCTAAGAATATCCTATATTCGCTCTCCTCCCCTTGCCAAGCCCAGGAAACACCTGAACACACATGCAGAAACACGTGCTGGAGGATCTATTATTGCTGGGGAGCTACTATTGAGGGAGGAGTCTATTATTTCTGGCTGCTGGAGAGTCTATTGACTGCTGGCTGCTGGAAGATCTATTTGTTGCTAGTGGGGTTTATTGTTCCTGGGGTGGATCCATTTTTGCTAGGGTACAATGTTGCTGGGCTCTAGGTAGATCTCTTGCTCCTGGGGAATCTATTGCTCCTGGGGAATCTATTGTTTCTGGGGGATCTATTGTTGTTGGGGGTTCTAGTGTTGCTGAGGGGCCATTGTTTCTGACTGCGGGAGGGACTATTGACTGCTGGCTACTGGAAGATCTATTGTTGCTAGTGGGGTTTATGTTCCTGAGGTGGATCCATTTTTGCTGGGGTACAATGTTGCTGGGGGCTAGATAGCTCCTGGGGAATCTATTGTTCCTAGAGGATCTATTGTTTCTGGGGATCTATTGTTTCTAGGGGTTCTACTGTTGCTAAGGGGGGTATTGTTTCTGGCTGCGGAGAGGGTCTATTGACTGCTGGTTACTGGGATATCTATTGTTGCTGGGGGTTTATTGTTTCTGGGGTGGTCTGTTGTTTCTGGCTACTAGAGGGTCTATTGTTTCTGGGGGATCTATTGTTGTTGGGGGTTCTATTGTTGCTGGGGGTTCTAGTGTTGCTGAAGGGGCCATTGTTTCTGGCTGCTGGAGGGACTATTGACTGCTGGCTACTGGAAGATCTATTGTTGCTTGTGGAGTTTATTGTTCCTGGGGTGGATCAATTTTTGCTGGGGTATAATGTTGCTGGGGGCTAGGTGGATCTCTTACTCCTGGGGAATCTATAGTTCCTGTGTAATCTATTGTTTCTGGGGGATCTATTGTTGCTGGGGGTTATATTGTTGCTGAGGGGGCTGTTTCTGGCTGCGGGAGGGTCTATTGACTGCTGGTTACTGGGATATCTATTGTTGCTGGGGGTTTTATTGTTTATGGGGGCAGTCTGTTGTTTCTGGCTGCTGGAGGGTCTATTGACTACTGGCTACTGGAAGATCTATTGTTACTAGTGGGGTTTATTGTTCCTGGGTGGATCAATTTTTACTGGGGAACAATGTTGCTGGGGGCTAGGTAGATCTCTTGCTCCTGGGGAATCTATTGTTCCTGGGGGGATCTATTGTTGTTGGGGGGGTCTATTGACTGCTCACTATTGCTAGATGTATTGTTGTTAGTGGGGTTTATTGTTCCTGGTTGTTGCTGGGCGAGTGTATTTTGTTGCAGGGGTATCGTGTTGCTGGGGGGGATCTCTTGTTGATGGGCAGATCAGTTGTTCCTGTGGTGGATCTGTTGTTGCTGGGGAATGTATTTTTGTTGTGTGGGTATAATGTTGGGTGGGGGGGAATCTTTTCTTGCTGGGTAGATCTCTTCTTCCTGGGGAGATCTATTGTTGCTGGAGGGATCTGTTGTTGCTGGCTGCAGGAGATCTATTTTACTTCTGTTATCATTAACAAATTCTATACAAATTACGTAGCACCACAAAATGATACTTGGTTCTGCAGTCTCTAAAAGGGGCGGTACTGGGAGGTGGGTAGGGGGTGTAACCAAGGGACAGTGCTCGGAGGTGGGTAGGGGGTGTAACCAAGGGACAGTGCTCGGAGGTGGGTAGGGGGTGGAACCAAGGGACAGTGCTCGGAGGTGGGTAGGAGGTGGAACCAAGGGATAGTGTTCGGAGGTGGGTAGGGGGTGGAACCAAGGGACAGTGCTCGGAGGTGGGTTGGGGGTGTAACCGAGGGACAGTGCTCGGAGGTGGGTAGGCGGTGTAACCAAGGGACAGTGCTCGGAGGTGGGTAGGAGGTGGAACCAAGGGATAGTGTTCGGAGGTGGGTAGGGGGTGGAACCAAGGGACAGTGCTCGGAGGTGGGTAGGGGGTGGAACCAAGGGACAGTGCTCGGAGGTGGGTAGGGGGTGGAACCAAGGGACAGTGCTCGGAGGTGGGTAGGGGGTGGAACCAAGGGACAGTGCTCGGAGGTGGGTAGGGGGTGGAACCAAGGGACAGTGCTCGGAGATGGGTAGGGGCGGAAACAAGGGGTGACTCAGAAAGGGGGAGTACCTGCACCTATTATCTGGGGAAAAAAAACCCTGGGAGGTGCCATAGACATCTGCCTAATGTACTTGTAGATGGAAATGGAGCTCCAAACTTGGGACACTTACGATGATTCCAGCTATGAAGCCCACACTGACAAGCATGGTGTCGCTCACTGTCTCCTCTCGCATGAATGGGAAGCGGATGCTGTTGTCGTCACAGAAGAATCCTCGATGAATCGGTGCGATCAATCCGAACTCAAAGATCAGGAAAGGTGTGAGCACTGCAAAGGAGAAACAGCACAAAAATCACTTTTTGGTGAGACCCCCCCCCCCCCCCCATGGTTTCTCTCTCTCTGGCATCTGGCAGCACCAGCTCTTCAATGTCTGGAAGAACAGGTGGCAGGACATCTGTCAGGACAGTCAGTACATTACTAGTTCTAAAGGAGTCTGCAAGAATAACCCTTTTGGGCTGAGGCTCCCGATGTCACGTCTAAGAATTGAAGTCATCGTGTTTAAAGAACATCAATTTTCGAATTGCCACTTCCTCAGTTCAGGCTGATAACATCGATGTTCTGATGAAGAGGTGATGCCATCAGGTCTGATTCAATCTCTGGGAGGTTTGTTTTTTATTTTCTCTTTTCCTAATTTAACTTTCAAGTCAATTATCCTTTTGCAAAGCAATTTCCTACACCTTATGTGGTCTCTCACCTCCATGTCTACTTTTCTGGTGGACACCCTGAGCCACACCACAGACCACTGGCCAGTTCTTCAGGACTAAACCCTCAGTTGGCCACCACATCCTAGATCCTAGTACACTTCTAGGGACCAGAGTTGTGGATCGAGGGTGCCATGAAAAGGGAAAGGCAACAGTGCACGGAATAAAACTTTTTACATTCATTTTCTAGCTCATTACTCTTTCCTTAGTAGCTCCCCGACATCTCAGATCTCAAGGCCTTTGCATAAGTCCTCCCACCTCTTCTCTCAAGTGCAGGGGCGGACTGACCATTTGGAAACTTGGGCACTGCCCGAGGGCCTGGGGTCAGTAGGGGGCCCCATGAGATGTCCCTGGTACCTTTTTCATAGGCTTTTTTGAGTTTGGGCAAGGACACAGGGGCCCCATGACCCCCTATTGCCCGGGGGCCCCATGAGTTGTCAGTCCGCCCTGCTCAAGTGCTGAGTAGTACAGTCTAGAGGTCAGTTGTAAGGAAAGAAAACAAGAGTCGTAGTAACAATGGGGAGCATCGAATATTTCATATGAGGACTGTGTTAGGAACATAGGGTTGGTTTCAGTGCTGGCCGGGATGAGCTATAGCTCTGAGGGCAACCTATCCACTAAGATAGCTAAACCCCCTACTGTATAGCCTACAGCAACCATTCTCAACCAGGGTTCAATGCAACCTAGGCTTCCTCCACAGATTTCTAGGGGTTCCTTGAGCTGTGACTGGTTGACCTCCCATCTGATGATGTCTGCATAATTCTAAGGTCAATGTCACTCGGCAAAGCCAAAAGCTTGACACCAATTATCTTTTTACTGTCTGTAGGGATGGCATTCTGACCACCTCAACAAGGACTGCATTCTTCCTACTGACCACCAATGTAAAAGGGATTTTTCCCATTGACCACCAATGTAAGGAGCATTCTTCCTACTGACCACCAATGTAAAAGGGATTTTTCCATTAGCCACCAATGTAAGGAGCATTCTTCCTACTGAACACCAATGTAAGGGGCACTTTTCCCCTTGACCACCAATTTAAGGGGCATTTTTTCCATTGACGACCAATGTGAGGGGCATTTTTTCCCATTGACCACCAATGTAAGGAGCGTTCTTCCTACTGACCACCAATGTAAGGGACATTTAAGGATTGCCAAAGACCAGAACATCACTTTAGGGGTTCCTTTGGGGTAAACAGTTGAGAAAGGCTGGCCTACAATGACTAGCAATGACAATGATCCTGCAGTCTCCTCCTATTCTCTGACATCCAATCTTCTCTACTGAGAATAACACGGGGGTATAGGGTCAGTATCAACAGCAGCCTCTGCAATTCGTAATAATACAGATCTGGATTTGTGTTAGTTTCACATGCACACAGATTTTCTATGTTTTATTTACCTCAACAGATCTAATCCAGCCCCCTTCCACCCCCCATAGCTGCAGCATGAGTCGCTATGGCTATAGTTATCAGCAAACACTGATATCTCAGTTCCATCCTAGAGATTTTACTCCTGTTCTGCCCCACTTTCATGTATTTTTATGTCTTGTATTGGACAACAATGGGTTAGTGTTTTGTACTATTTCTGACATCTAGTGGCCATTTAGGGCCACTACGACTTGTTTACTACTGTGATTTTGGTATCTTCCTCTGTCCTCCCCTCCTGTGTATGCTGATTGGTTTACTCTTTGCTAGATAATCCCCACTTCTTCCATTTTCCCTCAGTCAGTGTTGGTTATTTGCAGAGACAAGGCTCAGGAAAGTCATTGTCTTCTTACATTTCAAAAGACTGGAAAAACATCCTCTGTACTGCAATTAGCTGAAGTTAAATTGCTTTGGGTTCAACGTCTGTGTCTTATTGAAGAGGTAAACTGTCTGTGGATGGTGCCAAGTCAGCAGGTGACCATACTGTCCAGACAGACTGGGTATACAGAGGTATGTCAATGCATATAGTGCCATTTGAAACAAAACAATACCTATCGCTATCTCCTAGATTGTGATCTCTAACGAGCCCACCCAGGCCCTCTATTTCCTCTTGTACCAAATTGTATTGTAACTGTAATGTCTGCCTTCATTTTGTAAAGCGCTGAGCAAACTGTTGGCGCTATATAAATCCTGTATAAATTAGAGTGTTTTACAATTTCACAATAAAATGGCAGTCAAGCAAAACTGTCACATCTTAAAAGTTGGCATTCTCAAATGATTGTGTTGTCCAGTCAAGGTTGTGACTTCTCCCACTCATTCGTGGAGTTTACATATCTCAATGCCCTTTCTGATTTCTCATGCTTACCATGCTGACTAATTTGTAGAGTAAATATTGATAAATACCAAACTTGGCAAAAAATGAATTCTACCTGCTGGTGATATGATGAAAAAAAAAAAAGGAAAACAGTTTGCTTTAGCAAGTTTTCCATGTTTTCCAGTTAGAATTTTTATTGGTATGCTTGGCCAAGCTGTCCATTTATTGGCTGTTTCCTTAGTAACTTCATTAAAGCTGAACTCCAGGTATGATCTGTATTGCATACTCAGGGTTGCTATAGATGACATTGTATTTTTTTTTCGATCAGTTAGCAGGCTGATCGAAAAAAAATTAACAGATTCCCCCATCCACACAAACAAGGTGGACGGAGGAATTCTCCTTGCTGAGACGTATTCTGACAGCGGGGACTCCTCTGCTGTCACAATACGCTCATTAATGGCCAATCAAGAAAAGTTTGCCAACATTCTCCATTTTCCGTCCCCCTATGGCCAGCTTGGCACACTGTAAATGCACATATCTCAACCCTATGGACTGCTGGGGAAGCTCAAAATCACTTGTTGGCACTCCTTCAGCGATAGCTGCCATCTTCCTGGTCCTGCTGGGGTTTTACGTCAGCAGCTTCCCCATCTGCACACTAAACACAGGGGGTGGCTCACTCAGCACTGCCGCCATTTAGAAAACACCTTGTACTTTAATTTTTTTTTCAGTGAATACAGGGCATTCTCTGATTGGACATGGTGGAGAAGAGGGGTGCTGGCGTCGCAATCTCCACCTCATCCAGTTACAAAACACCTTGTATTTGTTGAAAGAAATACATTCTATGAATGGCTTCAGTGCTGAGCAAGCAACCCACTATGTTCAGCATGTAGAAGGGAAGAACCCCAGCAGAACCTGGAAGATTGTAGCCATCACTGTAGTAGTGCTGACTACTACAGAGATTTCCAGCTTCTCCAGTGGTCCATCAGGTATGAGATACAGTGGTGTAGTTAGGTTTTGTGCTGCCATAGGCAACACAAAATTCATCTTCCCCCCCCCCCCGGAGGGAGCCTGACAGCAACCGATGGCACCCTGACATTGACCAACAACACCCTTGCCCCATCCTGGCGAGAGAGAAAAGACACTCACCTTCACAGCTCTGGACATCCCCGGGAATGAGAGTCAAGCAGCCCGCAGCCTCTCTCAGATCCCACCTGGTCCTCATGCTGCATGTGTCTCTCCTTCCATCCCTTCTTCCAGGGGGCAGTGCTGCCCCCCTGAAAAATGCCACCCTAGGCAAACGCCTTGTTTGCCTTGTGGTAAATACGCCCCTGATGAGATATACATACTAATATTGTGCCAAGCTGAACCAATGTAACTATACAATACAGATCATTCCTGGAGTTCAGATTTAAATATTCAGTCTGACAAACTTGCCAACCACGGCATTGGAACGCTCACTCATGCAATATTGAATTTTGAGTGAATCGATTAAACCGCCATTGACCCATTGAACAAACGAAACCAGCGCTCAAATCTTCATACAGACTAAGATAACTGAAACTGTCATTCGTAGAGAGTACAGAGTTCGCCATTGACCAATGCCTGTTGCCAATGCATCAAAAAGCATGATATAAGCATTTTGATGCACTGCCATTGAGTTTTATGGTCTTCTAGTGAATAAAAATGAATAAAAAGAATAAAAAAATGAATAAAAAAACAAACATATTTTCAAACATGCAGTGCTTAAATGGGAACAGACAATCCCTGGAATTCATGAAGAGCGGTGAAAGTGTCTCCCATGCATTCTAAAAGTGGTGAAGAATGCACCAAATTCATGTACCTGTCTAGAACTTGTACTTGAATTTGACTCATGCGGCCCCACTTTTAGAACGCATACAAGATGCTGTCTGAGACAGTTTTTCTCTCTGTACACCAAAAGAGAGTTGGTGTTAATATGCGCCATTTTCATATTTGGAGCATTCACCCCGGTTCACACTGATGCGGTGCGTAATTCTCACCGGTTTTTGTGCGATTTCGCACCGCATCATAATCACACCCCGTTCATATGAACCGCTGCGGGTGTGTATTTTAGGTTCACAAAACGCGGTGCAATGTGCAGAATCAGATCGTATGGGTGTGAACATCCATGCGATCTGATTCTGGCGCGGACTAAAAAGGGGTCCTGCACTTTTTTGGGGCAGATGCGGTGCGATCTCAACCATACAAAATGTACGGCTCAAATTGCACCGCACAGAAATCGCATGTGATTTTCACAGGAATGTGGTGCGGTTCCTGTGGAAATCGCATGCACCGCATCAGCGTGAACCCGGGCTCAATGTATTAGTAGCGCATTTTAGAACTGCCTGAATTTGTCGCACAAGTCGCTGTTAGAACCAAAAGTGTCGGAAATGCTTGATGAATCTGGCGCAATACAACAAGAACGATTAATGCCAGAAAAGTGGTGCAGCAGCTTTATTGAATGCTGCTACGCAATAGAAAACATCAAGATAATATTTTATAAATACAAAATATTAATGCGGCGCTGCATTAATATTTTGTATTTATAAAATATTATCTTGATGTTTTCCTGTGCATGTAGTTCGATGTGGCAGCATGTTATGAGATAAATGAGAATATTTGTTTGATTCACATCCACATATTAACAGCGCAGTTTGTTTTTGAGGGTTTTTCACCTAAAAAAAAAAATATATATATTTTTTGTTTGATATGCATTGCAATGCATGCTTTATAACGCAACAGCATAAATGGGCTTAAACGTCAAAGATGGGTGCTGTGGATCATTTTGAACATACACATTACAATCTGATCATACAATCTCATTTAGATCTACCCACGGTGTAGTATAGTGTTGTGCCTGATTGGATACAAGTTGAAGTGCTGAAGCGCCGTACACACAATGAGGATATCGGACAAATGATTGTCCTTTTTTTTTTTTTTGAATGCTAGTCTCCATATTGATGGATGAAGAGGTTACTAAAGTTACGAAAATTCTCGTATGACAGAATAAAAATTGTGATGTATTGTACTGTACTGCTTACATGAAAATCATATGATCTGGTATCGTATTAGAAACTTTTTCATGTTGTCCCTTCAAATAAAGCTGTGTACTAAGGATCAAACTATTGCGCGATCGCTTTGAAAGCGGTATTTTTTGTACAATATTCTGATCGTGCGTACTTGGCTTTAGGCAGATCCTAAACAAGATAGATACAACAGAGATTGTACAACCAGATTGTAAAGATATGGCCACCTCTAGCACTGTGTCCCTCGCTCTTTATAATTGGCATTGATTTAATAAAGTAGTAGACATTTCACTTTAGGTTTCCATGGATGGTCCTACGTTGGTGGGATCAGATATATACAACAGAGATTGTACAACCAGATTGTAAAGATATGGCCACCTCTAGCGCTGTGTCCCTCGCTCTTTACAGTATAATTGGCATTGATTTAATAAAGGAGTAGACATTTCACTAAAGGTTTCCATGGATGGTCCTACATTGGTGGGATCAGATTTAGGATACAACAGAGATTGTACAACCAGATTGTAAAGATATGGCCACCTCTAGCGCTGTGTCCCTTGCTCTTTATTATTGGCATTGATTTAATAAAGGAGTAGACATTTCACTAAGGTTTCCATGGATGGTCCTACATTGGTGGGATCAGATAGATTTGTACAACCAGATTGTAAAGATATGGCACCTCTAGCGCTGTGTCCCTTGCTCTTTATTATTGGCATTGATTTAATAAAGGAGTAGACATTTCAGACATGGATTCACAGATAAAGGAGTTTTCCATTTCCATCGATGGTCCTACGTTGGTGGGATCAGATAGATACAACAGAGATTGTACAACCAGATTGTAAAGATATGGCCACCTCTAGCGCTGTGTCCCTTGCTCTTTATAATTGGCATTGATTTAATAAAGGAGTAGACATTTCACTTTAGGTTTCCATGGATGGTCCTACATTGGTGGGATCAGATAGATACAACAGAGATTGTACAACCAGATTGTAAAGATATAGCCACCTCTAGCACTGTGTCCCTTGCTCTTTATTATTGGCATTGATTTAATAAAGGAGTAGACATTTCACTAAAGGATTCCATCGATGGTCCTACGTTGGTGGGATCAGATTGATTTAATAAAGGAGTAGACATTTCACTAAAGGTTTCCATGGATGGTCCTACATTGGTGGGATCAGATAGATACAACAGAGGTTGTACAACCAGATTGTAAAGATATGGCCACCTCTATCGCTGTGTCCCTTGCTCTTTATAATTGGCATTGATTTAATAAAGGAGTAGACATTTCACTAAAGGATTCCATCGATGGTCCTACGTTGGTGGGATCAGATTGATTTAATAAAGGAGTAGACATTTCACTTTAGGTTTCCATGGATGGTCCTACGTTGGTGGGATCAGATGTCTCATTGTCCATGGGCTACACACAATAGACCTAAGAGATTGGGAACAGGGCATTGGATAGGTTAGTACACCTCGTCCGACCATTATTCTCCCCAGTGCAGGGACTGTCTGCTGGTGGCCTCCATTGCCGCTTGGGTGACTACAGCGCTCCCTTTTTAGCCAAGAAGATATTGGTAGATGTCATATGATGCATGGCCATCCAAACGTCTTTCCATCAATAAACCTCAATTAACTATTAATGCTCCACCACATGCAGGAGAATTCAAATAAAATGGAATTCCCATTGCATGAGATTGGACAAAGCTTGGCTGAACTATGTGAACCTTCTACTCCTTTAGTAAATCCTCCTGCCGCATTAACACCTTTACAGAATGCGTAGATTGTCTTGGCATAGATGTCAACTTACCTGCACAAAGGCAGAGCAAGTCCAGCAATATCGGCCACTTCTTGGACCCCCTGGAGGCTTTGGTCTTGGATTCACTGCGGATGCAGTGGCCCCCTACTGTCATCATGAGGACCCTGGGGTCAGGGCACCAATCTGGAGCTCCCTTTTTAGCCAAGAAGATATTGGTAGATGTCCATCATGCCTGTCCAAACGTCTTTCCATCAATAAACCTTCATTAACTTTTAATGCTCCACCACATGCAGGAAAATTCAAATAAAATGGAATTCCCTTTGCATGAGATTGGACAAAGCTTGGCTCAACTATGTAAACCTTCTACTCCTTTAGTAAATCCTCCTGCCCCACTAACACCTTTACAGAATGAGTAGATTGTCTTGGCGTAGATGCCAACTTACCTGCAAAGAGGCAGAGCAAGTCCAGCAATATCAGCCACTTCTTGGACCCCCTGGATGCTTTGGTCTTGGATTCACTGCGGACGCAGTGGCCCCCTACTGTCACCTTGAGGACCCTGGGGTCAGGGCACCAATCTGGAGCTCCGCCGGGGGTGAGATGCATGTTTTCAGCAGCAGCAGGCGAAGAGAAGCACGACTCGAACGTTGACTTTGTGTCTATATCTGGACGTCCACCCTGCTCTTGGCTCGCACTGCGTCCTACTCTCTCCGTCACCTACAACTCTTGCCTGCAGCCCTCTCTTGAGTGACTTGAAACTTTGCAAGAGCAGAGAAAGTTAAAGGGAGAGGAAGAGGAGGTGGAGCTGAAAGCAGGGTAGATGAAGGAGGGGGGGAAAGGGTGAGACAGACTTTGGAAGGAAGGAGAGGAAAGGGAGATAGCTGCAGAGGAAAAAAGAATAATGCAGCTGTAATCTGAGCTGTGAGTGGTCCACACCCTATAATTCATCGTCCTGGGACCCTGCAATCTACTGTTGTCCCATGTCTAACCCCACCATATGTTCTTCTGCTGGAAAGTCAACTCAGGAACTCACCCAGCTGTGCCACCTCGTGACCAATCGAAGTTTGAAGACATCCTACCCACTGACAGGTGTCGGTCCTAACGCCGGTCACATGCTCCTGTGTGCATGCTGCATGACGTGCCGAAATTTTAGGAGCCATTTAAGGTTTAGGAGGCTGGTATGGCTACCAGAATGTTATGGAGCACCTGTCATAAACAAGGATGAGTGCATCTGAGAGGCTTCATTTGCCCAAAATGTTTTTGAAATTTGCAAGCTTTTGGTGACATTTTGCCCCGTTGGTGAAATGCAATGAGGTCACCGGTGAAGGGAAAATGAAGGTGATTTTGGCATTTTTTAAACCCCTTTCCACCCACTCCCAGTGGCCCCTGAACTCAGTCCGTCTTAAAGTGATTGTAAACTTCAGACATGAAATATGAACAAAGAACATCCTGCTATAGTGTGTACTTGTCTCAGTCCAGAGCACTAAGTGTCATTTCTGTCTGCTGCCTCGGTCCTCTGCTATCAGCATGAGTCACTTCTGACAAGTTTTCCTGACACCAAGAGAACAAGGGTGACAGGGGAGGGACCTTCAGCAGATTGACAGCCTCAGTTCTGTTCCTGTCTCAGTCCAGAGCACTAAGTGTCATTTCTGCCTGCTGCCTGGGTCCTCTGCTATCAGCATGTGTCACTTCTGACAAGTTTTCCTGACACCAAGAGAACAATGGGTACAGTCCAGAGCACTAAGTGTCATTTCTCTCTGCTGCCTTAGTCCTCTGCTATCAGCATGAGTCACTTCTGACAAGTTTTCCTGACACCAAGAGAACAATGGTGACAGGGGAAGGACCTCCAGAAGATTAACAGCCTTAGCTCTGTTTCTGTCTCAGTCCAGAGCACTAAGTATCATTTCTGTCTGCTGCCTGGGTCCTCTGCTATCAGCATGTGTCACTTCTGACATGTTTTCCTGACACCAAGAGAACAATGGTGACAGTCCAGAGCACTAAGTGACATTTCTGTCTACTGCCTTAGTCCTCTGCTATCAGCATGAGTCACTTCTGACAAGTTTTCTTGACACCAAGAGAACAATGGTGACAGGGGAAGGACCTCCAGAAGATTAACAGCCTCAGCTCTGTTCATCTGTGCTGTGTGGAGGGGGATTTGTCCCTTCCCAATCAGGTCTCAGAGCTCTCCTCACTGAGCTCTGCAGTGTGCAATTTCATCTCTCTGCCCTCTTTTTTCTGTTCTCTCAGACAAGCTTTATAAATTCATCACTTCATCAGATGTAGAGACTACAGATAGACCACAGATAGACAAGTACAACTTATGTAAGAGGATTTGTTTAATCCCTGAGTATCACTTGAGGCCAGTCAAATATATGTAAGGGTTTACAAACCACTTTAACCCACCTCCCGCCAGCCATATAGTCCAATGACGGTCGCAAGGCGGTTCTCTCGTTCTGGGAGGACGTCATATGACGTCCTCCCATTCTCCGGGAGCACGCAGCGCGGCGATCGGCGGTGCGCTCTGTCCCTCGGACACAGCGGATCACCGATCTACGGAAAGAGCCGAAGATGTCGGCTCGGTCATGTGATCAGCTGTGTCCAATCACAGCTGATCACATGTAAACAGGGAAATGCCGGTTATCGGCATTTCTCTCCTCTCGAGCTGTCACGCTGACAGAGGAGAGCCAGTAATCGGCATTCCGCGGAGGGGACATCTACACTGATCATCAGGGCACTGATAATCAGTGTGCCCTGATGATCAGTGTGGCCCCAGAAGTGCCACCTGTCAGTGTCCATCAGTGCCAGCTGCCATGTGATCACTGTGATCGGTCACAGGGGGAAGGGAAGAGGGACAGACCTAACCATGTGACCACTGTGATCGGTCACAGGGGGAAGGGAAGAGGGACAGACCTAACCATGTGACCACTGTTATCGGTCACAGGGGAAGGGAAGAGGGACAGACCTAACCATGTGACCACTGTGATCGGTCACAGGGGAAGGGAAGTGGGACAGACCCAACCATGTGACCACTGCGATCGGTCACAGGGGAAGGGAAGAGGGACAGACCCAACCATGTGACCACTGCGATCGGTCACAGGGGGAAGGGAAGAGGGACAGACCCAACCATGGGACCACTGTGATCGGTCACAGGGGAAGGGAAGAGGGACAGACCCAACCATGTGACCACTGTGATCGGTCACAGGGGAAGGGAAGAGGGACAGACCCAACCATGTGACCACTGTGATCGGTCACAGGGGAAGGGAAGAGGGACAGACCCAACCATGTGATCACTGTGATCGTTTACAGGGGAAGGGAAGAGGGACAGACCCAATCACGTGACCACTGTGATCGGTCACAGGGGAAGGGAAGAGGGACAGACCCAATCAGGTGACCATTGTGATCGGTCACAGGGGGAAGGGAAGAGGGACAGACCCAATCACGTGATCAAAGTGATCGGTCACAGGGGGAAGGGAAGAGGGACAGACCCAATCACGTGATCACTGTGATCGGTCACAGGGGGAAGGGAAGAGGGACAGACCCAACCATGTGACCACTGTGATCGGTCACAGGGGGAAAGTAAGAGGGACAGACTCAATCACATGACCACTGTGATTGGTCACGGGGGAAGGAAAGATGGACAGACCCAATCACGTGACCACTGTGATTGGCTGTCACAGTCATCACAAGATTGGAAGCCTATCCCATTGGCTTCTGATTATAACAAGGAAGTAGGAGTTGTTGGTGACAGCTTGGTCACTGTGCTTGGATCGTGCTCTCAACACAGAAACCTCAGCCGGCGTAGACACACATGTGGGAGTTAAGGCCCACACTCCTTGATGTCACACATATACATTATGTGACCAACAAGAGGCTAAGGGTGCAATGGGATTTTAATAGCTGTTAGGGGGGTTTAACTATCCTGGGCCTGGCCAAAAAAAGCTCTTATTGGTCTTATCAATTAAAGGCCGACCCTGAGCACAACAACAAAATACTCCTGCAGTGCCAACCCTCCCACACTGCAAGGGATAAATGCTTTTTAACCCCTTGCCCTCCGGAGGATTCCCCCCCCCCCCCCCCCCCCCTCCCTTCCTGACCAGGCCATATTTTGCGATACAGCGCTGTGTTACTTTAACTGACAATTGCGCGGTCGTGCAACGCTGCACCCAAATTAAATTTACGTCCTTTTTTTCTGACAAATAGAGCCTCTGTGTTTTTTATTTTTTGCGCTGTGAACAAAAGAAGACCGACAATTTTGAAAAAAAAAAACAATATTTTTTGACTTTTTGCTATTAAACATGTCCAGTAAAAAAATTAAAATTTCATCATACATTTAGGCCAAAATGTATTCTGCTCCATGTCTTTATTAAAGAAAATCCCAATACGTGGTTATTGGTTCACTTGGAAGTTTCCAAATGGAATTTTTTTCTATACCAGTAATGGTGGTGATCAGCGACTTATTGCGGGACTGCGGCGGGCATTCTGACACTGGGGGGAACTGAATTGGTGTTACTGACATCCCCAGTGACACCAATACTGTGATCAGTGCTAATAAAAAGCACTGACACTGTACTAATGGTACTGGGCAAGAAGCGGTTAACATCTGGGGCAATCAAAGGGTTAACTGGTGCTGTTTTACTATGTTGTCTGTGTGTTTTACTATGTAAGCAAGGGAGAATGTCATCAGAACACCGAGGATCACCAATATGGGTCCAAAAGTTTTAATGAACGATCACATAGTTACAGCAAGGCAACGTTTCGGAGTCTCGCAGGACCCCTTCATCAGGCATGTGATGAAGGGGTCCTGCAAGACTCCAAAACATTGCCTTGCTGTAACTATGTGATCGTTTGTCACAAGCCTGATAAAGGGGTCCTGCGAGACTCCGAAACGTTGCCTTGCTGTAACTATGTAATCTTATGTCACATGCCTGATGAAGGGGTCCGGCGAGACTCTGAAACGTTGCCTTGCTGTAACTATGTAATCTTATGTCACATGCCTGATGAAGGGGTCCGGTGAGACTCCGAAACGTTGCCTTGCTGTAACTATGTGATCGCTCGTCACAAGCCTGATGAAGGGGTCCTGCGAGACTCTGAAACGTTGCCTTGCTATAACTATGTGATCGCTCATCACATGCCTGATGAAGGGGTCCTGCGAGACTCTGAAACATTGCCTTGCTGTAACTATGTGATCGCTCGTCACATGCCTGATGAAGGGGTCCTGCGAGACTCCAAAAATTGCCTTGCAGTAACTATGTGATCTTATGTCATAGGCCTGATGAAGGGGTCCTGCGAGACTCCGAAACATTGCCTTGCTGTAACTATGTGATTGTTTGTCACATGCCTGATGAAGGGGTCCTGCGAGACTCCGAAACGTTGCCTTGCTATAACTATGTGATCGTTCCTTAAAACTTTTGGACCCATATTGGTGATCTGGTGTGCTGTTGACATTCTCCCTTGCTGATTCTGTTCGGTTCCAGCCGACGATCGCTGCAGCACCCTTTTATACACACAGCCATTTTTAATGCAGGAACGTGTGTTTGGATTGTACACTTACTATGTAAGCACGCTCTTTTGTATTGATCTGCTATGCACAGCAAAACAAAGCAGTG